AACCATCAAGAGGTAAAAATAAACTAAAAATCTAAAAGGTAACAAAATAGAAGCTCCATTTAGGAGTCAGTTGGTAAGTTGTTTTATACTAAGGCAGCCAGAGTCTAACAAACACACATATTTGGCTTTTATAACTTTTGAGCGTCTTTTCAAAAAGCTCTCTGGAGTTTCTTTGGCAACACAGCCTTTGGGCAGAAAATAACTGAGGACCCGAGCAGACACGGGGCCTCTCACTCGGTCGTCTGTCCAGGCCTCTCAGCGCCGGCAGGCCGGTAAGTGGTAGGTGGTGTGGCAGTTTGTGTTAAAGAGCCAAGCCTGGTTCTGTCTCCCAAATAGGCCGTACAACTCTTCCGTCGCCCCAGATCTGTTCAATCATCTGCCAAGGCATACTTTTGCAGAACTGGTAGGGAAGAGTCACTGAAAGGGGTCACATCGGATGCAAAGGGGTCTGAGGCAAAGCTCCCCACGTGCGCACTTTCCTGCAGATGTTTCCAGCCCTTCCCTGCTGCAGGGACTCTAGGGATGGCTCGTCTCCCCCTGCAGGAGTGGTCCGCACACATCCAGCTGTAAGACAAGGGGAGGACTGCTGGCGCTTCGGGGAAAGGTGGGCGACTCCAATGATTCCCCCCCACCCAGCACCATGCCTTCCACTTAAAGCAAACACATCTGGGGAATCACTCCACGACTTTTAGTTACCACCAAACTCAAACCATTTTCATTTTCTAAAAGAGAAGTCAATTCAACTAAAGAAGCAAAACTAAACAGAACTCTTTTCCACCACTTCTCACCCAACTGGAACTTACAAAGGAATTTTAAACAATTAACTTGTATTAAAATCATTTGGAAAGACTACACTAAAAGTTGCATTAAAAATACTTTCTATCTTCACATGTCAACACACGTATCACCTGTATAAATACGCAAGAGCCCCGAGACCACCTACCATTTGGTAGAGTTGGTCTGTAAAACTATAAGAGAATCGCGTTCTCACTAGGCTGTTGTTAGGTATGATTCTGAAAAGGGATATCCCATATAAAGCAAATCCACATCCACAGTATATTTCAAAAGCAATGTCTGCCTGCAACTGACTGCGATTAACATAATTATGCTTGAAAATGCTCGAGGTGTACTATGAATCAAATTTAGAAGGAGAGGCGCCTGAGTGGCTCGGTCGGTTTAGTGTCTGACTCTTGATTTTGGCTGTCCTGAGAGCAAGCTTGGCGTCAGGCTCCACGCTCAGCGGGGAGTCTGCTTCAAGATTCTCTCTGCCCCTCCCCCTGCTCGTGCACGAGCTATCTGTCTCTCAAAATAATAAATAAATCTTCAAAATTTAGAAGGAAAAAACCTGAACGTATCATGTTTATACTAATAAACAAAAAAATTGCTTCTAGGGGCAACTATATGCAATATAATTTCTGTGGGTTCTCTCTCAAACATAAATACAATTTGTCAATCCTAAAAACTATTTTTATAAGGTCAGTAGTGAGAGGCAGCATTTTACAAGTAAGTGTAACTAGGACCTATATTTGCATAATGGAAACAAATAATAAACTGTATTTTATTTTTCTTTAAAGATTTTACTTATTTATTTGACAGAGAGAAACCACTAGAGAGTGAACACAAGCACGGGGAGTGCGAGAGGGAGAAGCAGGCTCCCAGCCTAGCAGGGAGCCCAATTCGGGGCTCGATTGCAGGACCCCGGGATCATTACCTGAGCCGAAGGCAGATGCTTAACAACTGAGCCACCCAGGTGCCCCATATTTTAATATGTATTTTCTTTTTCTTTTTTTTTTTTTTTTAAAGATTTTACTTATTTATTTGAGAGAGAGAGAGAGAGCCCAAGAAGGGGTAGGGTCAGAGGGAGAAGCAGACTCCCTGCTGAGCAGGGAGCCCGACGTGGGACTCGATCCCAGAACTCCGGGATCATGACCTGAGCCGAAGGCAGTCGCTTAACCAACTGAGCCACCCAGGCACCCTAATACGTATTTTCTATACCGAAAATCTAAAAAGCACAGAAGAGCATTTTAAAACTTATCTATAAAAAAAAAATATCGGGACACCTGGATGGCTCAGTCAGTTAAGCATCCAACTCTTGGTTTTGGCTCAGGTCATGATCTAAGGGTCATGGGATCGAGCCCTGTGTCCAGCTCCTCGCTCAACATGAAGTCTGCTTGAGATTCTCTCCCTCTTCCTCCCCGCCCCGTGTGCAAGCATGTGTGAGCTCTCTCAATAAATTTTTTTTTTTTTAAAGATTTTATTTGACAGAGAGATAGCACAAGTAGGCAGAGTGGTAGGCAGAGGGAGAGGGAGAGGGAGAAGCAGGCTCTCTGCCGAGCAGGGAGCCAGACGTGGGGCTCAATCCCAGGACCCCAGGATCATGACCTGAGCCGAAGGCAGCTGCTTAAGCGACTGAGCCACCCAGGCGCCCCTCAATAAATAAATTTTTAAAAAAACATATCACCTATAAGTCCAATACCTATGGAGAGCTACTTTCAATACGGTGCTATGTTGTTTTTCAGAAGCAGAGAGGGTGTGCTGAGGGTTCATGGGACATGTACCACTTTGTATCCTGCTTCTCCCTTGTTATAGACATTATTACATGTCAATGAATACTCTTCAGTGTATTTTTATTGGCTATTTATAACCTTTAAATACCACGTCATCCTTAGTGATGAATACTAAGGTTGGTTTCCACTGTTTCCTATTATTAAAATATTTCTAACAGCCTTGCACATACAATTTGAATATCACTATTTCCTTAGAACAGAATTAAAAATTAAAACAAAATGAAACATTGGGCCAAAGTACATTTGGGTCTTTGTATTTCTAAATTTCTCTCAAGAAAGCTCACAGCAAACAACATTTCCATCTAACTATAGGAACTCATCTCCCCCCACTCTTTGCCAACACTGGCTATAATCATTTCTTTTTAAAACTTTCCAGTTTTGGTATAAAAAATTTATTTAAGATTTTATTTATTTGAGAGAGAGAGAGAGAGGGAGAGAAAGCATGAGCAGGGGGAGGGGCAGGAGGAGAAGCAAGCTCCCTGCTGAGCAGGGAGCCCAACACGGGGCTTGGTCCCAGGACCCTGGGATCATGACCTGAACCTAAGGCAGACGCTTAGCTGACCGAGCCACCCAGGCACCTCTAATTCTTCATTTCTTCCATAATTATGAGGCGGGATATTTTGTCATTTGCATTTCTTCTGTGAATCAGTTATGTCCTTTAGAGCCTTACTTTCAAAGCACGGAAAAATATATATGAGAATAGTAGTTTACATTTGGAAAAATGAGAAAATACCTTTATGCTTAAGTTTATTTGATATAAACCATGTTCATTAGGTATCAAAGATTACTTAAAAAAAAAAAAAAAAGTACAAGATGAAAATGTCCAGGGGCACCTGGGTGGTTCAGGTCATGATCTCAGGGTCCTGGGATCCAGTCCCACATGGGGCTCCCTGCTCAGCGGGGAGCCTGCTTCTCCCTCTGCCTCTGCCCCTCCCCCACCCCCGCTGGTGCTCTCTCTGTCTCTCAGCTAAATAAATCAATAACATCTTAAAACAAACACGAAAATGTCCACATACATTCGCTGGGTTAGATGGTTATTTCAAAGTAGACATGGATCATCATGAATGTATTGTGAAAAGAATTTTTTTTTTGGCTTGATCTGCTTTTCTGTGAGATTCTGAGTTTCTATAAAAGAGAAGCCTGCAGCAGGCCGGTGAAGGGGGTAGAAAGGCCCCCAGCTGGACTATTGCCCTCAGGCCCACAGCTCCCGTGGGAGAGCTGGCGGGGGGCTAAGCGTGTCAGCTGAGGGGAGCGACGGCAGCAGCTGAGCTGAGACCTGACCGCGCAGCTGGCAGGGACGGAGCAGCAGGACCAGCCTGTCCTGGCACGTTACCCCTGCAGAGCGTCTGCGGCAGGCGGCCCCCGGCTCAGATGTACTCCGGGTGAAAAAGGGCCCGCAACTCCAGGGACCGTGACCTGTGTCACAGAACATCAGGATGGAGATTCAATATGAATCCTGAGTATGCTTATGTTGTAACCTCCTGCGAGGTAGATAGCCAAGACTAGGAAACAGGAATGTGATTCCTAGTGTACTGGTTGGGGAAAAAGAAGACTTCAAAAAAAAAAAAACAAAAACCCCAGAATAAACTATTTCAGCCCACAGTACTACAGGGTTTAAAAAACCAGAAACTTCCAACGTTGATGAGAACTTTTAGGCGTAAGGAAAAAAAAGAAAGACGTCAACGCACAGGTTTCTTTTGATTCCAAGGCAAAAATCATGACGTGAGGTGTATGTTGACCCAAATAAAAAAGGATCCTGACCTAGAAACGAGGGGCAGGTAGATCTGGGGTCTGGCAAAAACAGAAACTTCAACCACATGGCCCAGCGGGCAGACTCGATCACATGGGCTGCTCTCAGTTATGCCACAAGGACCCGCACATCATCCTGCATTCCCGAAATATAATGGTGGCGATAAATGGAATAAGAAATTACATTACCTACTTCAAGTTCAAAAGAAAGAACACCTACTATTATTTACCCACTTGACTGTTACATACCCACCTGCAAAGAATGCACTCTATTTTACTACCAAAAAAAAAAAAAAAAAAGTTACTGTATTGTAACTACACTTGACCCTTGCAGAACTTTCTGCAATGACAGAAGTTGTCTGCCACCTACCAAGCACCTGAAATACAGAAACCATGACTTAGGAACGGTTCATTTTAAGTGACTGCAAATGTAAACAGCCACATGGAGCGAGTAACTACTACACTGAACAGCACTGTTTTAGACTAACCAACTAGCCAATTTCACCTCTGGTCAAAAAACTTAAAGAGTGAGTTCATTTTTAAAGCTACAAAAAGAACTCTGATTATATCACAGGGTGAGCTGGAAAGAGAAAACACGATGTAAAACTTCTAACAATTCACAGATCGTACTAGTGAATAATCAAAATTCTAAGCAAATTAATTTCAGCTCAAGCAGTAGGATACGTGTAGAGTTCCATGTATCTGGATTTTGCCATACTTTGTCTGGTATATACTTGCTGGATTCCAGCTCTGAGGTCGTCCCATATCTGGTCAAGGCCAATCTGCTTCAGTCCATGGGGATTCTGACTCCTGTTTGATGACATTGTGAGTAATATTCTGAAGTCGTCCAGTGTAGCAATCCTTATGCAAGGTACAGCTAATTCTCCATTAGATGAAAATATACAGTATCATTCCAAATTTATTCACAGCAGCTCAGAAAGGATGTCCTTTAAATGTAGAGAATGAAATCTCATTGCAGGCAAACCTGAAGAAAAAATAAAGCAAGTTAATGAATTTTTTCTTGACATCCTGGGGTGGGTAATAGGGTGCCTGCCACACAGATAGAAACATTGTCTGTAGGCATTAGAGGGTACCACGCTAATCTGGAGAATATTTCTCTTTCTCTGTGGAGACAAACTCATATGATCTACGTACAGAAATATGCTTACTTAAGAGATTTAGTTCGGAATCCTATGAACTCAAGAAAAGTGCTCACAAGAGAAGCTGGGCGAAACTGTGTAAGCACAACTAACACTGTAGCCTTTCTTTGCCTTCTGAGGTAAAACTTAAACTATACGACTTGACCCACATAACAATTACAAAGATAAACCCAAAGGAAACTCCCAGACAGAGAAAATCAAATACCTAAAAAGTAGGAAAAACCAGCCTCACTGGTTATCTGTGAATTTTAAGAATTTTTCACTTAGCACTTTGCAAAAATGCAGATGTTGGTGAGGCTGAGGAGCAGGGAAATGGTCACTCACCTTTCAGAAGGGAATCTGGCAAGAATCATCAAAAAAAAAAATTTTTTTTTTAAAGACTTTATTTATTTATTTGACAGAGAGAGAGAGAGAGCACAAGTAGGCAGAGCGGCAGGCAGAGGGAGAAGCAAGATTCCCCGCTGAGCAGGGAGCCCGATGTGGGGCTCGATCCCAGGACCCTGGGATCATGACCTGAGCCGAAGGCAGACACCCAACCGACCGAGCCACCCAGGCGCCCCAAGAATCATCAAAATTTAAGATGTTCCTTAAATTCAGAGACTGGGGTTTGAAGCTCAGCTCCACACCTACTGGGTATGAGGACTTGGCTAAGGTACTTCACACTTCTCTAAGCCTCAATTTCTGAATCTACAAAAGGGGGGGGGTCAATCATTTTCTTCAGACAATTACTGTGAAACTTAAGTAAGACAACGTATATACAATATTTAACACAGAGTAAATGCTCAACAAATAATACTGGCTATTATTCCCGAGTGTATAAGGCTACTACAAAATAGAACTTATAATGCTTTAGGATCTCGGGATCCACAGATAAAGCACCTCACTATTCAGCATCACGTTAACTCAGTATCCCTCCCTATGCAATACTACAGTCACACCTTACGGATCGTCTGTGTCTATCACATGAAAATGTGGAGCTTGTTAAAGGAGTACTCCTGTAAAATTAAGAAACAATGAATTATTTTAATGGCTCCATAAAATAAATGTTGGGAGGTGAACGGTGTCTGGAGCAATAAGGATGGGTTGTCAAAGCCTGCCAATTCAGGTTTGAGCTCCGCAAGGAACTGGGGGCATCCTGCATCTTCGATGGCATCATAGAGCTCTCCCTAGGCTAAGGCACATTTAAGGAGAATGCAGTTCATGCTTGTGGATCAAGTCCGAACTACTGAAAACTAAATCATCTCTAATACTTATAATCTAAGCTTTGGGACCTAATATTTTATGAAACCACAATCCCGTTCTTGATCCTGAAAGTATTTTACATCATCCATTCAAAGAAGTATGTTCAAATGCAGAATACAAAGATCGCTAACACAAGAATTCCCTCAAGTTTTAAAGGAAACCAACAACTCAGCAACCGCTTTGCAAATGTTCCCTAAATATAAGTGCAATCTGCCTTTCCTTCCGTCTACCTTGGGGGGGGATCAGGCCAACACCTGACTCGATAGTACGGCTGGGACTCGTGGTACTGCCTGGTATCATTACCTAGTTAAGCCTGCACTCCTTCCTCACGCTTAATTTTCCCCTAAGGGGAAATTATCACTTAAATTCCCCAGACTCACACAGTTAATTCTATCTTAGATAAGCCTTCTCTAGATACTCTTTTACTCCTTTTTCTCCTCTTCTAATTTCTAGCAGCAACTGAGAAAAATGTTCCATTCCTCCCATTTTCACCTTTTCCTCACCCTATCATTTCCACTGGGCACCCTAAAAGTAACTTCAAGTAAATGGATTCCTATGGAGCCACCATCAACCTTCCTTCTTCAAACCTCCACATGCCAGCAATTCACGAAGTGTATCTCCAGCCCAGCCGGCTTCTCTCAAGTCCAGGCTCAGCTCTACATCCGAGTGTCTAGTTCAGTCCCCTCCCGGATGTCGCACACCCCACAGGTCTACGGCTGAACTCAGGGACTGTCCTACCTCCACTGTTCACCGCGGCTGCCCATCTCCGTAAGTGGCAGCTCCATGTATCCACGTGTCAGAAATTGGGGAATAATTCTAATGTCTCCTTCCTACTCTTTCACAGTCTAGGGCTACTGATTTTACCCTCTGGGGTCATGTCACATCCACTCACTCACTGCCTCCGTTTCCCATCCCAGTGGACGATGAGGATGACGACATCATCATCACTGTCATTGTCGTCGTTCGTCGTCGTCGTACACCGGGCTGCCGTCTGAGCCGTCTACACTGGACTCCCAGAGCGCCCCTCCCCTTGACTCACCCCCTCGAGGCTTCACACAGCAGCTGAGTCGAAAACTAGAAATCTGATTAGGCGTCACCCCAAGAGCAACAGGGAGTCAAACTGGTGTCGGAGGCAGGGAAATCCTGAACAAGGCACTCCCAGATCTTCTCTTCTCTTTGGGAAAACTTGAAACAATTTACTGAGTTGTTTTATAGGAGATTAATCATTTCCACACCACCCCCCAACACCAACACAGTCAAGCACAAAAGCCACAGCCCCTCCCTCGCGCACCTGACAAAGGACCACAGCCTGGCCCAGGAGCCAGCCCTGCCCAGACCCTGCCCTGCCCAGAGCCCTGCCCTTCCTGGAGCCCTGGCAGCCACGCCGTGCAAGCCATTCGCTCTCTACGACGGGACCTTTCTGTCTCTTCTCTTACAAAACTCCCCTTCGTCCCCTTGGGCACAGCCGTGCAGGCTTTCCCCTCCTTTCCTGGCTGTGCCAGTCCGCTCCCCACTCCTGAGGATCACTGCATCTGCTGCTGCTCGTGCCAGAGAGCCCCTGTGCTCACTCTCCGCCCAGTCAGACTCACTACAAGTCCCAGACAAGGTTCGCCCCCTTCATGGGACTTTCCCTTCTTATGCTTATTCCTGGTTAATTCCCTGTCGGGGTTCCTCCCTTCTCTAGTGAGAATGATCCATGGCACAGAGACCATCTCTTTTTGGCTCACCATAGTATCCTGAGTACCTAGTTCAGAGCCTGGTGCATAGGTCAGTGTTTTGTATGAATAAATGAAATAATAAACCAAGGAATTAAAAAGCTGGATGTTTTTAAAGGATTTAAAAATAAGGAAATACCACTATTAGAAAGCATCTGAACTTGCCCCCAAGCCCCCCTTTAGAATCTCCATTAAATTCTATCTTGTTTCTTCTACACTTTTTCCTTCAAACACTAGATTTTAGGCTAAAATTTATTTCTTGCTGTCTCATTTAGTAATGTTGTGTTATTATTCTGGTCATTGCAAATGTATACATATTTTAACATGGTGTTTAAACAGACTTAGAAGAGTTCTAGAAATTCAGTGATCATTAATATTTTATTTAACAAATATATAGTAGGAAACTATCATGTGCCAGGCACTACCACAGGGAGTCTTATGTACTATTTATAGTAAATCAGAGCAGGCACAGCACTACTGTGGAATAAAGCCCCTTCCTGAAAAGCTAACCCATTAACTTCTGGTAGGTGACAGACTTGTACACTGGAAAATTTATGTACCACACATTTCTGTACCAGAAATATTTGCTCATAAGAGCCAATTACAACAGGATTAGAGGTTAACCTTAAACATACTTCTGGCCCTTCCTTTTACAGATAAAAAAAAAAAAACCTGAGTCAGAGAAGCAATCAAACCTGACCAAGGTTATAATGCTAAAGTGGCAGGACCACAAGCAGACCCCTGGATTCTCAAAAGCCAGGATTCCCCAGTACTCTAGTCTGAATTCTAGGTTCTTTCATTTGTAAGGTGTCAATAAATAGGGAAACTAATTTCAGTATTTGCAAATCAACCAACGTGATACATCACATCAATGAGAAAGAAGATAAAAACCGTATTATCATTTCAGTAGATGCAGAAAAAGCATTTCACAAAGTACAACATCCATTCATGATAAAAATCCTTAACAAAGTAGATCTCAATGTAATAATGACCGTCTATGAAAAACCCACAGCTAACATCATCTTCAAAGGGGAAATACTGAGAGTCTTTCCCCTACAGTCAGGAACAAGACAAGAATGTCCACTCTCACCACTTTTATTCAACATAGTACTGGAAGTCCTAGTCACAACTATCAGACAAGAAAAAGAAATAAAAAGCATCCAAGTTGGCAAGGTAGAAGTAAAACACTCGGTATTTGCAGATGGCATGATAACTATAGGTAGAAAACCCTAAAAACTCCATGAGAAAACTACTAGAACTGATAAATGAATGCGGTAAATTTAGCAAATCAATATACAGAAATCTGTTGTATGTCTATATACTAATAATGAAGCAGCAGAAAGAGAAATTAAGAAAAGAAGCCCATTTACAACTGCACCAAAAATAATAAAAATACCTAGGAATAAACAGCCAAAGAGGTGAAAGACCTGTACGCTGAACACCATAAAACACTGATGAAAGAAAATGAAGACAACACAAACGGAAAGACATCTCACGCTCATGGATTGGAAGAACAAATATTGTTAAAATAAATACCTGTAACCACCTAAGCAATCTACAGATTTAATGCAATCCCTATCAAAATACCAATGCATTTTTCACAGAACTAGAACAATCAATCCTAAAATTTGTATGGAAACACAACAGACCCCCAAGTAGCCAAAATAGTCTTGAAAAAGAAAAACAAAACTGGAGGTATCACAATTCCAGACTTCAAGTTATATGACAAAGTTATACAAAGTGATCAAAACAGTATGGTACTGGCACAGAAACAGACAGATCAGCGGCCTAAAATGGAAAACCCAGAAATAAACCCACAATTATATGGCTGATTAATCTTCAACAAAGGAGGCAAGAATATACAATGG